CTCTTAAATATGCATTATTCCGTCCCCCAAGCAAACCTGCGGATCTGAAGCGTAATGTTTGTTGCCTAACGATTCGATTAAACAACCGATCTCTCTTCTAGACTCATCTCTACATTTATCAAGCACTTGTAGTTTGGGTTGTCCAGATGTTGTTCGATATGCTTCAGGCGAAAAGTGACAAAAACTATAGACTATAAATTAAACCTAAGAATATTTGAAAGATATAGCAAATAGACAAAAATGTCTTCGACAGCATATCCTTTCAGAACTCCGACGTCTGATGCGACAGGTAATGTCCCCAACATTAACGATTTTGCGCTGAGGTCTGAGCTGAGATAGGAAAAACCTAACTCAGGAACAGAATCTGTCAAAGGACTTACCTCATTTCATTTTTGGCTCTCCACGAGGTCTTCGGTTGATTGATTGAGCAAATAGTAGCTGTTTCGCTTTCCTTTCTGGAAGCATTTGCAAAACGTTTCCAAACCATTGCACCCGTGACTTCTCAATCAGAAGGAATATTCTTATACCAAATAATGTTAATAGTCTAATGCTTCTTGACGGATCAGGGTTATTCAGTTGATGGAGCGTCAAACTAATAACCGCGAAGCTGGATGTTAGGGCCTCAATCAAGTCACTCGTCTTTCTTCATTTTGAGGCAGATAAATGAGATCACTCTGTGAGAAGGTAACACAAATTTACACGCTCACCACACGGTTCCAGACTCTCGTTTAAAACAGGAAACTCTTGGTAGATTATTTATAAACGGTGCTCAGTGTCGCACCATTAATTTCGTAAAAGGACGAGGACGAGCTACAACTGCCTCCGCCCCACCATCACAAAACCGTAGAGGCAACCGGCATCACAAAAGTTAAAAGCTTGTGTTCTTTGCCTGATAGAACTTGATTTAAGCAACGATCGTTCAGCGGTCAACTTTGAATTGTCGGCAGATTTGGTACCCGATTCAAGGTGCTTTACTGTTTTGACATATCACTAGTACAATTCAGAATTTTTCAAAACAGCAAGATATTAATGGAAAATGCAGCAAGTTAGAAGAGTCGAATGGACCAGCTGAACATGTAGTATCCACTGACATCTTATTGGCCAGAACTGGAGAGTTTTTTAAGTAATTTTGAGGGCTGCTGCTGGAAGGAAGCCGAACATTGACAATACATTCAATTTTAGGCTTTCCGGATACTGGTCTAAACGTCCAGCGTAACGCCAGAGGATTAAGATTAATTCAGGAGGAGCAAATCTCAAGAGTTCAAAACAAATAACGGAATAATTTTCAAGAGCCAGTTCTCGGCCGGCACCGCACTTTTCAAATCCGCGTCGAGAACCAACTTCTGAGTGGCGACCTCCAAACGGCTGGTTTTCTCTGGAAGCCGATGTTTGGTCCGGCCTCTGTATGAGATCAGGCAAAACATAAAGCAGGCGTTTGATTCCGCGACACAACTGCGTTTATTATCGTCG